AAGGGCCGAAAAAACTACCTAATATAACACCGCTTCTGACAGAGAAAGCGTTAGACAATGAAGAGTTAATTTTAAATATTTAATGTCGGTGGCTGAGGAAGGAATCAAGCCAAGCAAGTAGAGGGTTTTGAACGCCGTAAGATGTTGGTGGCTAACCATGTCGAGGGCTTTAGAAATGTCAACTCAAGCATAATTAAAAAAATTAAACTAAAAAATTAGACTAAACATCCTTGGTTATGTTGAGAAAAGACTAAATTAATGAACAACATATGTAAATGAACATTGTTTTCAGTTAGATCCTCATTAGGCTTTACTCTAATATACAGTAATATTTATATGGATATACAAAATTATTAAACCAGTCAAGGTAGTTTATGTTTCAATGATAACAACAGAAAAGATTACATAATAAGTGAAAAGTACAATATCAATGTAATCTTTGAATTTGAAACGTTGATATTACTAATTATCTGAAAAGTACAAATTGATAGTTTGATGACATGTGTACTAGTTTTGATAAGAATAATAAAGGCTTAAATCAATGTTAAATAATCGGAAATAGGTCAATGGTTAGAAAAGTATAGACATTGAGATAACATTTATAAAAATTATAGGATCACGTAATAAGAAAAGTTCAGATAATTAGACCGTGAAGAGTATATTTGATTGGTTTAGTCATTTCGTATATGCATATAAATACTACTTTATATTAGAGTAAGGCCTGATGAGGATCTAATCGAAAACAATATTGTTCGCTTATATATGTTGTTCTAAATTAAAGAAGCGGAAATGGCATGTTATACAAGATCGAGTTTTTAAAAGTCCATGTTGAGAATCATTGATAAATTTTTCAGCGAGTAAGTAGTCGGAGAGTTCGTCACTAACAACTTTCTTCATAACCCTGGAAATAACTGTAGTAATATTTATGGGCCAATCATTGTTCATGTTAGTCTTATCTCCAGATTTGTAACGTGGTATGATATACGCAGTTTTCCAACGATAAGGGTAAGAGCCTGATTCCATAGAGAGATTAAACAGCTTTAGAAGTGTAATATTTGGATCACCATATTTACAGAGAAAGGATGAAATCCCGTCTACTCCATGACCACTCGAAACCTTAAGGGTATTCATAGCCTTACTAATTTTCAAGCTTGTGAAGGAGATAGATTTTATTGAGTTACTAGTCACGCACATGACTCTTGAAACAGTGCAATTAAAAATTCTTTACTATTCGCAAAAATACTACTGAAAAGGTCTGCTTTAGTTTTAGAGTCGTATACAAAATGCTATTATGCAGGTATATCCAGCTAACGAGTGCGTTCAGGTTTTCACTGCTAACCACGTTCCCCATTTCCTATATAAACATAGTGAGTAAAATATGATACCTATTAAAATTACTTCGGATTGATGAATGAAAGAAAAACTGAGATGAAAATATTTGGACTTTAATAGAAATTTAGCTTAGGAACTTCGGGTCTATAAATTTTCATTTGTCTATCTTTTCAATACGACTTATTTTAAAGCCTATTGGTCATTTTTGAATCATCACTACTTTTAGCTTCAAACCAATGAATTTAGATATTCTTCTATTCATCTGATGAGGTCTATTTTAATTTGAGATATAAACCAAGAGGAAAGGAAACTAAAGAGTGAATTCGACTAATCATAATGTAATGTAGCGTTTCTGGCTTGATCTGAAGACTGTAAATTGAAGGGAGTAGAAAATATTTATCAATATGATATTCAGTTGAACACTACTTCAGTAACGTTTAATTTAATATGTAGATGTATGTCTGCATCTGTGTATATGTCCATAAAATGCGGGACTTGTAGTTATAAAAGCCAAGGAGAAAATCTAAATTCTATGTATTTGGGGAAAAAACATTATTGACTTAAAGTAATCTATGTTATTTACTTGACCTGATCATTAAAATTACAGATGAAGTACTGATAGGCAGAAGCACTTTAAGGTAAGTCAACATTTTACATAGACTAGTTGTACAGATCTTGAACCTAAAAAAAATTTTTCCTACTAAAATAAAACTAGCTATTAAAAAAATGAGCAAAATATTAACCGAATATTTTAAAACATCAGATAGGTTTCAAATGTTCTCGTCTACTTATAAAAAGGTGTCTAGGAATTCTTTGTTGTTCTGAAGTACTTTACACTGTTTTTAATTGGAATCTCTTATTTTTAAGGTTTTTGTCATAAGCTCATAACTCAAACACCTGGTGAATGATTTAATCGATTCTTTTTTTCATGGGTCGTTCCTTATATGTATCTAATGAGGTCTACATCTACTTGATAAAGTAGCTTGAAGTACTCTAGATTATATTATCGAATAACATTTATTATAAAGCTAGAGTTTAATCTGTTGCGAAATTTTCGGATCCATACTTCTTGGTCTCGAAATCACATTTCGAACGTTTATTATCATTCCAGTGAAATTGATTTGGGCTAAATGTTTGCTATACTGCTATATATTATATATTATATTTGACTGAATATATCAATAATTATTTCGGGTACAAATTGTTGATTTATTTCTTTTTAAATATAATCTAAAGTTACACAGTGTATTTGGATAAAATTAGATTAAGTGTTTAACAACGAAATTAGTCATGATATCATACTGTCAGATAAAAATAATGTTAACAAAAAGGGTTTAGCTATAAGGTTTAGGATTTCCATATGATTTTCACAAAGGAGAAAATGCTAGGAAATGTTTCTTAGTCCTGAAAGTTTGTAGAATGCTTTGAAGTAGATAGGTGACCGAAACGTCTGGTTCATCGCATTCAATATTTCATATTTTTAATATGAAATCTTACTGTCAATTTATAAAATATGGTGAATTCATTTTGTGCCAAAATTCTCTAATGTTTACGATACGAAATGATGTTCATCGTTCAGCTTTCAGAAAATTTTTTAAAAGTTTTTGACTTTCATTAATTTTGGTAAGAATGTATTCTCACCCCCTTTGTAACTGTGATACCTGTAGCTGCTCTGTAGAAATTTGAACGATAAAATGCAATGGTATAAATTGTGATTCGTTTTTATTCTGACTAGATTTCATAAGAATATGTTAAATAATTAAATAGAATCAGTAAGCTAAAATAAATATTTATAAAGTGATTTTTAGGCTTTGAAACAAGTTTACTAGTGTTAAAATCAGGACCACGATAGCTAAATGAATGTAAAAGGACAGTATCGTGAGTACAAAATGATTTGCTGTTATATAAATTGGAGTTGGTGTACCTCAGTGAGTTGTTCTTTTTCATTTCCTTTTCCTCATTTTCTTGAATGACCTACTAAGTTCGGTTAAAAATACTTTGGGTATGCAGATGATTTTATTTTATGTATGCATGTTTCTTTCTCTTTTAGTTCTTTTGAAATGAAAGAATTTTTAGAATATATTGAACTATAGTCTGTTTTTAGTAAAATCATGAACGGATCTAAGTTAGACCACCATTGAAAGTCCATAAGGATTGGATAACATTTTTGTCCTAGTATGGGATAAGTCGACAGTGCGCATCCACCGCCACACTACGATAGGGAATCCAATCCGACACTTGTCTCGAACACCAACGCCTAGCCTCTAAACTACTGAGCCAGGATTTAACGGTGTTAGTGCCCACTATTAGTCAATGCACAATTTTGTGTAACCAACTTCCATTGTCTTCACTGGATAACTGCCTCACACACGACGAGGATTAACTTCATTGTTCATTGCTTCTCACCAAAACTCCGGAAATTCGTTTTTGCAGCTAGTCACCAGAGAGCACATGATATTTTTGTGACGCCTAACAGGGACTTGTTGAAATATTGTACACAGAGAATTTTATATTGTACTGAAAATATATTACTGAATAAGGCGGTGATAATTATTGTATCATTATCATCATTATTTTAAATTATTTTAAGTTGTTATCTCTTATAATTACCATTCGTTATTAAATCTAGAAAATTCTAAAAGCTCTGTCTATATTTTTAAACTGAACAGAATAACCACTTCTACTGTAGCGGTTTTCAGTATGTAGGTTATGGAAATTGATGAATGTTATCGAGATCACGAATCAATGTAAATTAGACAATTACTGAAAACCAGAAAGCACAAAACAGCTGTTTCGTCCTAGTATGGGACTCTTAAGCAGAGCAAACTGATTATGAAGATTAACTTTAGTTTAAATTTAAATTTTTCAAACGTTATGTACCTAACTAACTATCATTTCGCTAAACTGACTCACCACCATCTAATTAGTATTCACTTTCTACTCGCTTATAAAACTTATGTATTAGTGTAGAGCCTTGACGTAGAACTAATTGAAAAGAAATATTTCTTCGCTCAACTTGCCTTTTTGATATCTCAATGGGAATATGATGAATTGAAATCATCCGAGCTGTTTTATTCCTGTAGATATATACTTATCAAGTAAGAATTTTAATATTCATGTATAATTCGTCCGTGTTGAATATATTGTAATTCAGCTTTCGGAATCATTAAATAATATGATTTATTGTCCCGTGTTAATTATTCAGTCAGTTAATAATTACAATCATTATATTATGTTGAAAATTTAGTTAAATCATTCCGACGGAATTGTACTGTCTTTGACTTAAAAACTAATAATTCGTTCTATTGACTTCACTATCTTACAATTATGTCAGTGTTCTTTTTTTAATAATATAGATGAAATCGTATGCCTTGACAAAAGTCAATTATTATTCTGAACCACCATATTAAAATCTGTTTACATAAAGTTGAACAAAATTCATCACATCTGAATGATCGCAATAAATAAATTCATTTGATAAACATGAACAAAATCTTAAACAGTGAAAACAGATAACGGTGGAATTATAATCAAGTAAAAATCAGTATGTCGAATTAATGAAGTCATTATCCTACTTATTGGATCTAAGTTAAACATATATATATATCAACATTTCATTCGGTACGAGCACAAAAGTATAAGTGAGATTAAGTTGGCACAGATAATCAATGACATCAAAAAACTTATTTTCATCAGAAGTAAAATTATTTTTCAATTTGAAAAAAACATTTCAACCAATTATAAATGTGTTCTCTTCTATTCAGTCAAAAGATCAGACTTATTCAAATAATTCATGGATGAAATTTACAAAATATTCAGATGTTATTGGTCATATACACTTCAGTCTTGAATATATTTACACTTTAAAAAAATTGAATGTTATAATCAGTCATTTGACTGGTGTCAGTAATCTTGGAAAAATTAATAAGTTATTTCCAAGTCAAATCCAAACAATATTCATTATTGTTTTACAATTAAGGCAAAGAATAGACTTTTCATTAAATAAAAAAGAATTTTATATAGAAAATGATGATTTGCATAGAAGTTATTTTACAACACCAGTTCAGACATTTGCAAATCCATGCTTTGACCAAGTATTTGTTTTTGATATTCCCTTTAATGAATTAAAACACAGTGAATTAGTATTTTCAGTATTATATTCAGCATCAAATGATCAAAACATTGTATACAGTGACACTGAAGAACCATACGATATCAGTAAAACATTCAATCTACTATCTTCTCTCTACTGTCATCAGTCTAGTCAAAAATCATCACAATCAGGAAAAATTGCAGATGGGATGCTATGTATTGGTGAAGCAATTTATAGGATAGATCATGGAAAATTAATTAATTATCCAAAAGAGTTAATACATATATGGCAAGAATTCTATCCACCATTAAATTCCTCCGATAAATCTATCATTGAAAGGAAACCAAATTCGCTAAGAAACAATGGAAAATTTAACAGAGAAGCTAGTAAAGAGGATTAAGTATGTATGAAAATTTGTTTATCTCTAGATTTAGTGTTTGCTGATGTAGGACTAAGTTGAAAGAAAACTATGAGTGACAAAACTATAACATAATAAAGGTCCATAAAGATATTGACCGTATTAGTGAGCTGTTTTGGTAGGTGTAAACAACCTGGCTAGGGTTCACATTACTATTATAATCGGGAGTTGGAGACGGGTGACATGATTTAGAATCGGTCCCATTTGTGAACATCTATTCAGTCTTTGTCTTTCTGTAGATCCTGAATTTCAAAAGTATCTTACACATCTTGGCTCAATGACTTCAGTCTTTCTTCTTGAGTCAGATCGTTCGTTCCAATTCTTTTCTGCTACTATTAATACTGTTACAAGTTGTAGATGCATAGTAACTTACCTTGTTAACGTAGCGTGGTAAGTGGGATCGATGGATATATATGTCCGGTTCTACGATCAGTCTCCAGACCGACATGAGAAGAATGAACAACAATTGGATGGAACTTGGAAAGAAGGCTCAGGACAGAGTGGGTTGGAGAATGCTGGTCGACGGCCTCTACTCCATTGGGAGTAACAGGCGTAAGTAAAAGTAAAAACAGTTCTACGATGAGTATTACTAACTGATTGACTGAATTATTGTAATACAAAACTGAAAAATTGGTTATTTTAAAACTGCAAAGTTTAACGGGTGGAAATATGATAAATTAATTTGATATTTTCAATGGTTGCTTAAAGTAATAATATTAACCTTTACCGTTCTTTCTACTATCTAACGATGCTTCAACAAATACTTTTTCATATTTAATCCCTCCTAAGTATAGTTACATTGCTTACTTACTTAAGCTTGCTACCCTTTATGAAGCATAAGTCACCAAACAATGACCTCATACGAATAAACTTTAGCTATGCTATGGGGAAATTTATAGTTCAAAAATATGATCAAGTTATTAGATTAGGCAAAAATCTTTAATTGATGATACCGTAATTATTCACCGAATTGATTCTCAAACAAGTTCTTAATAGAATTTGAACGCTTATTGATCTGATTCGATTTCAGAAGCTCAGTAAAATTCTTGACCATTGCATAGCTTATGATTTAGTACTGAACCTTTGATTTGATTATTCAATTATGTTCAATCGAATTAATCAAACAACAATTACATCTCTTTGATTTATACATTTTCAGCATCATTTGATGTTTGTGAAGCTTTAGAATGAAATAACAGCATTTCAAAAACAATCCAAATTTCATAAAGGCATAGTGTTTAGAAATTTGTAAAGTAGTCAGTGACTATTTTATTCCGAAAATAGAAACAAAGTTATAGAACTTCCCTATTTAATTTTTAAAAAAATGTCATTGGATAGAGATTATATGCTTGTAGATTGTAACTTCATACTTTAATCATTTTGAATATGAAAAATAACTTAGAAAATCTTCATTGAGTAAGAAATAGGGACTAAAGTTACTTTTTAAGTTGTTGGTTTTATGAATATTCTATGGAATTGTTGATAGATTGAATTTATGACACCAGAAAAGATGGTTAATTAACAGTGTTCATCAAAATGTAAGAGATTCGGCAAAAGTTTTCAAATTTTCCTATAGCACTATATTCATAGTCTTATTCTTTATTCACTCAGTTCTCCAGAAGTATTAACATAAACTGATAACTTTAGTAGATTAAATGTTGGTTAGAGTTTGTCTCAGTGAAGAATGAGGTGAGTGTAACTAGCCTGATGTTATATTCATCACAGTTATCCAAAGTTGTGAAATCATTCTATTTTAACAGTCGTCTAATTTTGTCGATACAATTACGAAATACGTTAATTTTGAAAATAATTAAAATATGATCGTCGTATTTTGCTTAAGACATAAACGCTTCAATTTCGCCAAAATATTCGTCACGGAATTAATAACCGAAATAAGTTCCTTAATCGCCCAAATTTCCAAATAAAATACCAGAGAGCCAGATACACATAATGTTTCAATTCATGTAAATATCCGGGAGGTGTTGTGTTCTACAAGTCTGATGGTTTGATTGCGGTATTATCATTATCTGTCTTGATAACATCTTCGTTATCTACTCCATTAAGAAGTGAACATTTTAGTTATCACAGAAATGTCATTTCAGATCATTTTGATGGTCTTTTATGTGATCGATTCTCAACAACATAGCAAAAAATCATCCGAGTAAGCTGACGTAACACTTTGATTGTGTATTGATAAGTACGAGGTTCATCCAAATTTTTGGTTCACTGAGACACCTGGTGTAAAAATGATCGCGACAACTACTAGGGTGATTTCGTTTACATTAGTCTTTCTGTATTTTTACCATCAAATAAAACATAAATGCTACTGGCTGACTTTCCTTCACTGCTTCAATTTCATGTTGTAGTAAATATTTGGAGTGTACTGTGAACATATACACCTATATCACTCAACAAGTCAAATTCAATAAAAAATGTATAGAAGTAGTTTGTCCCAACGATCTTTGTCGGCTATTTTTCAACGTTATCACAATGATGAAGTTACAAGTATAGTAGCTCGTTACATTTTTTAAATACCTGAAAACCATCTGAATACATGTTTAATATGTTAAAAAACAAAAGAATCCTTGAAAAACTGTTATATTAAAAATACTACTGAATATTTTGTAAGTAGTTAAGAATGTTTTTCAAAAGTTCTGGGGTAGGTTGAATTTATCATTTTCTTAGAAAACGTAATGAAAAAAGGTTCGTATGATAATTATGGTAAGATGACCGGTCACTGGTAAAAAAATCGCAATTTCAACGGCATCAGCTGGGTCGAGAATAGAACAAATGAATGTCTCCCACAATATTCTGGGTGTAATAACATCTGTTATATTTGCCGTCTTCTTTAAATGATGCTTCTTTTGTCGTTAGAAAAAAATATTTACTTGACGCTCTACAAATTTCTCTGCTGATTTGTGGCATACATCCATATGAAGACCTAAACCTATAGAAATTTAACAATCAACTATATTTAGCTAGCCTTTTTTTAACCCGAGAGCCATTCATAAATATATTACTTATCATTCTCACAAAATTGGAAGAAATTAAATTAATTCTTCGAGAGTATGACAACTAAAATATGAAATTCTAATTGGCATCTGACGTCATTCGATATTTCCAAACATATTAAGCATAAGAAATTATAACTGTTTGATTTTAAAGCATGATAATTAAGTGCATCATCCATGACTTGGATTTTTCTGCATGTAACACACTTGATTTCATGAACCATCAGTTAATTAGATAATACTATGAGCACGTTTTCATGAGGCTGGTTGATCAGTCTGCTACAATATAGTCCTTGAAAAATTTCAGACTTTCTCCGTTAGCAATGTATAGGTATCATCATTTTATTAATTAGGTTACAACTTGTCTAATGTGTCCATGTATTTGATGACACAAGTGACAATGAATGTGATTATTTGAAATAATATACCAGTAATGTCAAGTAGCTATTTGGAACTTCAGAGCTCTCTGAGATATTTCAAATAATGTGACTCCGTGAAATGATGTAATAACTACTAAAAATGGATGAGTTTCATCAATAAATACCTGTTTCCTATAATTAATCCGTTCTATTTTTTGTCTTGATTTAGAATTTAATGTCAGAAATTTCGTTTTATCAATTAGCAAAAACATCGATGGTTGAATTGTCAATAATTTATGCAAAACGGTCATCTCATCTTGAATTGTATGTTAGAAAGATAACAAATTTAAGAGTCTATATGAATGAAAGTGAGTCTGATTTGTGTTTCTATCTATCTATCTATCTATCTATCTATCTATCTATCTATCTATCTATCTATCTATCTATCTATCTATCTATCTATCTATCTATCTATCTATCTATCTATCTATCTATCTATCTATCTATCTATCTATCTATCTATCTATCTATCTATCTATCTATCTATCTATCTATCTATCTATCTATCTATCTATCTATCTATCTATCTATCTATCTATCTATCTATCTATCTATCTATCTATCTATCTATCTATCTATCTATCTATCTATCTATCTATCTATCTATCTATCTATCTATCTATCTATCTATCTATCTATCTATCTATCTATCTATCTATCTATCTATCTATCTATCTATCTATCTATCTATCTATCTATCTATCTATCTATCTATCTATCTATCTATCTATCTATCTATCTATCTATCTATCTATCTATCTATCTATCTATCTATCTATCTATCTATCTATCTATCTATCTATCTATCTATCTATCTATCTATCTATCTATCTATCTATCTATCTATCTATCTATCTATCTATCTATCTATCTATCTATGTTTTTATTCCAGTTGTTTTTGGTAGATAATGACGAATCATTCATTAATTTTTTAATAACATCGTATAACTTGTTCGTCTCATAAGAAACAAAAGGTTATATTAAATCTGTAATTCTCATAGCGTGTTCAGCTGAGACTATAATTCGCGACCGAGATATTGAATATTCTAGATTCATTTATAATTCGTATATAATTAACTATGAACTAAACGCATTGAAAATACCTGTTTCAACAACATTGGTTATTACTTCTTTCGTATTTTGCAGCAGAACTTATTTTTCGTGCCACTTATTGTTTGAACAATATAAATTCGCAATCTGTAACAAGTCAACCAATCAAAATCACCGAATTGGGAAGTTATAAAATTAAAAAAATCAATAAAACAGAAAATGGTTATATTTTAGATCATATCAAAATACCATCTGATGAATATTTAACATTGAATATAGAAATAAATGAGCTGATAAATTATAGTCAGAATATTCAAATTGTGTTCGAAATATTCATTCAAACAAATTTTTCGGGTCAAATACTTTGTTTAACAAGAATTGTATTAAGTTCAACCAATGTGAATAATAATTATGATAAAAATCACGAATCAACTTCATTACAATATTCTGATTTAATTAGAGAATTACACAGACTAAAGGAAAATAATTCATGTAGTTCAACACAAAAAATAACATACTGGCATCAGATAAACAGAACATAGAAAACTAACTATAGTAGATTACATTTCTCATTGTTTGTATTTTCAGTTGTGAAGGATATTCACTCGATAATTATTTCAAATATTTTATTGGATTTAATTAGAGATCAGAAAAATAACAAGAATGTTTAGAGTTTTATTATTTTTTCACTGTCATATTTAGTTAGTTAGCTTTATTGGTTCACATAAATGGCATTGCAATACAAACTTATTTGGTTGATTTATTCAAAAAAAAGCTTTTGTATTCGTAAATCAGTTAAAGCGAACGATGAAAATTCATGTGCTTTGTTTATAGACAGTTTATTATTTTAGTGACATCATACCAGTGTAAATATGCAGTAGTCAGTTTTGAAGATAAAGAAATTAAAAGTTAGTTATAAGTGATCTAATTATTAAACAGATGACTTCGAACTTGAAATTAGTTAGAGGAATGAAAAGTTTTTGAGGCATAACTTGTTCAATAAGTATAATATTTGTAACATTACAAGTAAGAGTAAGTTATTCTCTTAATGATATTAGAGACCAAATTTTGGTTAGTTTTGGCTGAAATATATTAATCCAATACAAGTTAATCGTTATCTAGATTCAGTTACTCAGTGGATAACACGGACATTTGAAGTGAAAGATATTAGGTTCAAGTATCGTTTTGGATATCTGCAACCGTTAGTAAGTACACTCAGATGATGGGTTACAGATAGAACGAAACAGATATCTTGGATCCCACTGCTAGCCACTATCTATCTAGTCCAAGTAAATTGTAACAAAATTAATGGTAATGACCATCATTTCTAACTGTAAACTAACGTCGTTTTTTATTCTGAGGTAAGCTAAAAGTTGATTATTTTCTAAGGAAAGATTAAGTAATAGAGATGAAAGTACCCGACTCTTAAAAGGACTTTGACAAACGTATGTCCACTTTTAACCACTCAGAAAATATGCGATGAGTATTATTAGTTTTTAATAGGAAAAGAATAAAAAACAAGTAGCATTAAAATAATTTAATGAGCTTTCTATATTGATTTATGACATTTTCTACGGAAAATTAGAGGTTTGCACGACGTTCATGACAAGAAAAGTTGATGCGGATAGTTATCTATATGACACTTTTTCTTTTATCACCCATTCATTAATGACTGTCTCACCAGTCTCCACTTTTCTATCTCTCAGGATCTAATTATGATTTCTATGTATAAGCCCCCACAACATTACTATCATTGAGCTACTATGACTTGATTTATATCGCCGATGTCAGTTGCACAGTTTAATGGGGTTTTTTATGAACTAATTCATAATAAATGCATTATTTATTTGAGTCACTTTCAAATGAGCAGAAAACTTCATCAGCTACAAACATCTTATGCCAACATAGGCAGTATAATGACATTTATTTTAACATTCTATTGACCTTGTTTTTGGTGGTGTTTTGTTCTCTGAGCTGGATGGTTTGGTCGTGGAGCTTTCATCGTTCTTCTGAACGACATCATCAGCACAAACTTCAGATAGAAGTGAAGTGTTCGAATTTCTCCATATGTGTTTCACAGCTTGTTCTGTGCACCTCGATGTTGATTGGTTCTTGTTGACCTTAAATTTGTCATTGTTTACTTCTTTGTTTTGGTTGTGTCTCCCATTGGTTTGATTTTTGTTCCTATATTTATGCGTGATTTTCCTGATTGGTTGATAAATTGGATTGATTTCAATACGTTTGTTGATTGCTGATTGACCTGAGTGCCAAGCTTCTAAAAATTCTCTGGTGTTTTTGGAGTTTCCTCTATCAGGAAAATCACGCATAAATATAGGAACAAAAATCAAACCAATGGGAGACACAACCAAAACAAAGAAGTAAACAATGACAAATTTAAGGTCAACAAGAACCAATCAACATCGAGGTGCACAGAACAAGCTGTGAAACACATATGGAGAAATTCGAACACTTCACTTCTATCTGAAGTTTGTGCTGATGATGTCGTTCAGAAGAACGATGAAAGCTCCACGACCAAACCATCCAGCTCAGAGAACAAAACACCACCAAAATCATCCACCTGAGCTACAAATCTTCTCCACCATTGACCTTGTTTGCCCACGATTATTACATAATTGACTTACCAAAATATTTCCTTCTCATATAAATACATTAATATCAAATTATCATTGCAATTATAAATCACTTAATCGATTATCAGCTTCTTTACTTGATTTATAATCGATAAACTTGAAACCGGATTCTTAAACCTGATTGGTCAGTTTTTATACTTTAAACAACTGCTAATAACTCCGTGAATCCCGTAATTATTTCTGTTAAACTAAAGAACTATAAATTTTAATTCTTAAACAGTCCACCTTATTAAGTTAGAGTATAGGTTGTGTAATGTTCAGTCACAGTAGACTCAGGAACTGATGAACATGTGTATCAGTCATTATTGTCACATAAAATTACCAGGATGATTAAGAAACAAACCGATGAAGTAGTAATGTTGACGATGGGAAAAAGGAAGACTAGATAAGATATATATAAATTTATCAGGTAACAGTTTCACCAGCGAGTGTTTTAGTAATAAAAACTCATGATTACTTACTTACGGCTGTTACTCCTCGTAGAGGAGCATAGGCTGACCACCTGCACTTTCCATCCAACCCTGTCCTGTGCAGTCCTTTCCAATTCTTTCCAGTTGTTCTTCTTCATTCTTTTGATATCTGATTCTATTTCCCAGCGTAATGTGTTCCAACGTCGTTTCCTTATTCCCTCCTCAGCTGGAAGCTGGTTTGTTTTCTCCTACAGAAGACTGTTGCTGATGGTATCCCGTCATCAAGTATTGAGTATCATGCGTAGACAACTGTTTACAAATACTTGTGCCTTTTTGATGATAGTTGTAGTAGTTCTCCACATTTCAGGCCCGTACGGTATGACTGTCTTAAGGTTTGTATTGAAGATGCCATAGAGTAATTATACGATTGCAACTATTTGTTGTTATACAGTTTCACGCGTCCTAGGAAAATTCAATATTGTACTGTATGATCATATTTTAATAATATATTTCAAGAACTATGATGTATAATTTAAGTCAACTAATTGATATATAAATTGAATATATTCAGTAGAATGGTATAGACTCAACAACGGATAATTGTTTTGAAAAGATTTGACACACACACACACACCCACGAGAAAGCATTACGTCAATGCGAACTAATATTATGCTCACCTAATGTGATATCCCCTGAAATATTTTTATTTTGGTTTTTCTCTTCCTTCAAAATCTAAATTGAGCGGTGTAAACACAAAATCATTCAAAATATTGATAGAGTAAATCGTTCGCGCTTTTATATGATTGTCAGTAATAGATTTAAAATTTCATTTCTCTCTGTCATGTTTATTTACTCATTTACTTTCTTTTTACCTTTTTTTAAACATAAATTAGCGAAAAGAAGGAGATAAAAATTAATTCCAATCACAAATAAACGAATTTGTTTATCGATCTTTGATTTTTTCAGTGAGTTGTCTTGATTTTAAATTGTCACAAAATTGGATCATATTGATAGTGTAATTATCAAAATGAGTTAGAATCACCTTGCTTTTTTAAGCTTGATTCATTGTAAAACAAATAAAATTCACTTCAAACAACTTCATAATTTTTCATTGACTTTATCTATGAACATGGTTAAGAGTTCAATATGATTTTACGCATAAATTATCGGTATATATATCAGACACGATAAACCAAGCGCTTGGGGAACTAGTGTAGCAAACAATGTTGTCATACTATGTCAAACTGAGAAAGAAGAGTAGTCGAAATATTAGCGGCATCACTAATGCTGAGAAAAATGTATGCATACCATGGCAAAAGAGGTGAGCAATGCTAATCAATTGTTTGAGGTTTTGATAAGTTCCAACAACTAGGAAATTTAAGTTGACAGGTTATTAGCTAATGACTTGAAAATGTTAATAATGAGGTTCAGGAACCATAACAGTAATATCCCTTATAATATTTCACTTCCGTCTATAAAACTGTAAAAACATTCGTGAAAATATAATAATATCAGTCGTCATCATTTTATTCTCTGTTTCACAATTGCTTACAGTAAGGAATTCTCAGAACAATACACTTTTTAAATTTAAACTTTACTTGTATAGATTCAAGAGGTAAATTTAAAAATGATTTAACAACTTATATTCACGTTCAATTAAAACGATCTTTTTAGAATGTTCTGTCTTTTTAAGTTTTTGTTCTGCTAGTAATTTTTGTAATTAGTAAAGTATTGGAGAATCTGTTGTTTCAACAAAAAGATGGTTAAATATTATTATTCATTGTAATATCATTATTTGAGTTTAGTAGTACTCAGCAATGCAGAATGCTGTAAATTTCCGATTAAAATATTCGGATAAATAATTAGGTTCATAACTAATCGATAATAAAAAAGGACTAAAATAATTAATATTTGATAAAGATAATATTTTTTTCATTGTTGATATTTGGGACTCGACTAGATCAGCATCTATTAGCAAATGAACATATAAGAGGATGTTTTGCTATTTTTAATAGCCAAATGTTAATTTTATGTTGGATAATGAGTACCAGTGTTATCTAGGACTCGTCTATCATACTCAATTAATCAACATCAAAAACAAAAAGTATGCGAACCCTTACGAATGACGATACATAACACAATTATTGACCACTTTGGTAGCTTTATCAACCGAGCAGCTAAGCTGATAACTAGCTAGGAACAAGGATTGATTTCTTTATCTGACAATCAACAGTAGCATAAAAATATATCAAGTTAATGAACCCCAATTCTGTAGAAAAACAGGACGAAATTCGTTGAATGATATCTCATTCCTGATATGGTTAAGCTTAAACAATCTTAGCTTATAGATAGAACATAGGTAGTTCTTCTCAATTTTTGACTCTAACGAATAAAAATTTTTATCTACCATAGAAGATCTGCTATTGTATAAATAAACTCAGTTTGTAATGTACTTTTCTACTCAGGTTTTTATAATTTTC